AAACCCTACTTCCGATCCAAAGCAAGAGGCAAATGCAGCTTACAAAGCCCTTCAAACATGGAAATCAGCCATTACAGAAGACCCATCAGGTGTTCTTAAGACATGGGTTGGTTCAGATGTTTGTTCTTACAAAGGAATATTCTGTTCTGGTTCCTCTGTAATCTCCATAGATCTAAACAAAGCAAATCTCAAAGGCACCATTGTTAAAGACCTTTCTTTACTCTCAGATTTAACCATTCTCCATCTCAATACCAACAGATTCTTTGGTTCAATCCCAGATTCTTTCAAAACCCTAAATTCTCTTCAAGAACTCGATCTCAGCAACAACAGATTCTCTGGTTCTTTCCCTAAAGTCACAACCTTTATCCCAAATCTCGTTTACCTCGATCTCCGGTTTAACGATTTCACCGGTTCAATCCCTGAAAATCTCTTCAACAAACAATTAGACGCGATTCTACTCAACAACAATCAATTCACCGGAGAAATCCCAAGTAATCTCGCTTACTCATCAGCCTCGTTGATTAATCTCGCTAATAACAAACTCTCCGGCGAAATTCCGACGAGTTACGACTTAACCGGATCGAAATTGAAGGAGGTTCTGTTCTTGAATAACCAGTTAACCGGATGTATACCGGAATCGATCGGTTTATTCTCCGAGATTGAAGTGTTCGATGTTAGTTTCAATTCTTTGATGGGTCATGTTCCTGAGACGTTATCTTGTTTATCGGAGATTGAAGTTTTGAACTTGGCACATAACAAATTCTCCGGCGATCTTCCCGATTTGGTTTGTTCTTTAAAGAATCTGATAAACTTAACCGTTGCTTTTAATTTCTTCTCTGGGTTTAGCTCTGAGTGTTCGAGAGTTAGCTCCGGGTTTGATTTCACCGGAAATTGTATTCCCGGTAAAGGTTATCAACGTCCAGAGACGGATTGTTCGGTGATTCCCGGTGGTTCTTTGAGTTGTTTGAGGATTCCGGCGCAGCCGCTAACGTGCGCTGCGATTAGCGTTGGATTGAAGGTGATTGCTTCATCATCTCCATGAAAATGTAAAGTTTGAAGC